ACAATGGAGACCATAGGTAGTTACCGTAACACGGTCCCAATCTAAACTCCCAAATCGTACCTGCAGGAGCCCCACACAACAAGAAATGGTTGTGATAGCCGGAGTAGCGCATGATACCACCCCGGGCCCTAAACCCTAAACCCTACTAAGCCCAAATCCCTGAACCCTAAACCCCACACCCGAAACCCTAAACCCCCAACCCGAATTCCTAAGCCCTACGCCCTAAACCCTAAAGCCCTACACCCTGAACCCCCCCGACGTCTGAGTCCAAAGCGGGACAGGAACAAAGCTCTCATCAGCAGATCTGAGGTAGGAGCCTCTGTGACAGGAATGCAGTCGCTCCGAGTAGCAGAGATTCTCTTGGGATGAAGGTTTCGAGGCTCTTCTACAAAGAGGAAAACCCTAAACCCTGTGACTTAGACGGTGTAAGTGTTACAGCTTCGGATGTATAAACTTTACGGATGTAGGGCCTAACGAGTCTTGAAGTTTTGGATGGCAGAATAAATCTCCGACCTTCCAAACCAAGGGTTTAGTGCTTACCCATAGGCACCATAGTGCTCGACCGTAGTTCCTTTTAGGGACTACCTTACAGGATCCTAAATACAAACCACAAAAGGGAACTATAACGGAGCCTGTGGGTAATGAGTCTTGAAGTTTTGGGCTCGAGGGTTCAAACGGCCTTGTTCAGGCTTTAGGTTCTCAGTGAAACGATAGGGTTTAGGGTTTAGGGTTTAGGGTTTAGGGGTTTAGGGTTTAGGGTTTAGGGCTTACATACTGTATGGGTGCCTACCTGTGCAAGCGAAGGTCCCAGGAGGCATACTGCGCTTCCCGTCCTCCAGCCCATCAGTCTCAAACAACCCTAAATGAGCCTCTACCAATATTGCTTTTCCAACTAAACGGCCCTGGTTCCATGACGAGGACATGTGGATCGCAGGTTTCGCAAGAAAGCCCTACCTAAACCACTACAGCCCTGTCGTAGTAAGTAAAGTAAACCGTGGCATAGTATTGCATGCAAACCATGCAAGTATAGGCTTCAAACAACAACAACGTGTGGTCTTGCGTCTTCGGTAGTCGAACGTCGACTCCAAGTCTTGCACCCTGGAATCCTGAAGCAATATGTTACTGGAAGACAACCCTATTTTTATAGTTACTCTACATCCCGCAACCTTTAACCCTAAATCCTCAACATCCCTGTACATCACGTGATAATGATGCCCCCAAGGCCCCACGTCATCCCTAAACATAAACCCTAAGCGGAATCTCCTGCTCTGGCCTTGCCGCCGGTCGCAGGAGGGGTGGCGAGGTAGATGTGAGAAGTGGGCCGGACCTCCACAATGAAATGGGTTGTTCTCTAAATTAGCTTCCTTTCAAGGGCGCAAATAGTACGGCACCCTTTCAAATAGGGCTATCAAAAGGGACATTAATTTAGAGAACTACCCAAATGGAGGCTGTCCAGAATTAGTTCAGGGTTTGGTGCTTAAGGTTTAGGGCCTTTAATTAATTAGTTTAGGGTTAAGGGTTGAGGGCTATAAATAATTTGATTAGGGTTGGGGTTTGGGTGTCTCTCAATTCAATCCGAATTATATGCCAAGCAGCTTGGTTAGGAACTTCCTCCCAGACGTGGCTTAAAGGAGAGATCAGGATTAGCATTCGAGGCTTTTCTCAGAGCATCTGGCCCAAGCACTCGATGCCCCAAAACCCTCAAATCACATGGGGCTTCGGGATCGACAATAGCATCACTAGACAGGGACTGCAAGGGAATAGAATTGCAAGTTGTTTAATAAACCCAACCTGAACCCTAAACCGAAAAATCCCCGTAGCCCGCCCCAAACCCTAAGCCGTAAACAACCCCTAGAGCCCCTGAACCCTTGACCCAAAACCTCCAACCCGGGACCCTAAACCCTCAAACCTAAAACCTGTGAGCCCCAGCCCTTGCAGAGGTTGACTGCCATGAGCAGGAATTCTGGAACTCGTGCAGTGGAGTCGAATTACAAGAGACGGCCAAAAGTTGCAAAACTCATAATAGCCTCAATCCTTAAGAGTATTGTTTAGGGAATCCCAGCACTGATTGTCCTTAATCCGGTTTCCAACTTGTTGAGGTCTACTATACCTACTCTAGGGCTTCGAGTCAAAAGGGCTCTTCCTGTCTTGATTCTCCAAGAGTTCCATGATTCCATGTCCCCTAAACCCTAAATGTTAACCGGGTTAATTAGGGGGGCACAGGCCTCAAAGATGGCGCAGGAGCTGCTGATATTGTCCTCGGGATTGTCATAGATGTGCCCAAAGACGAGGCCCCGCTCACCGAGGCAGCTTCCGGAGCTTCTGGCGGTGTGATGGGCGAGATATTCTCTGCAATCTCGCGAAGCTCTGGCGCAGTATTCGGCATAACCGGTCCTGCAGGAACCCCTGGCGGGAGGATCTGCGACAGCCTCTGGAAACAAAAGGATTTGAAGTGGTCGGGCAAAGTGCCCAGTCGTTCTGCCCCTCCTGTAGCTATGGT